CAGGCAAGACAGTCCTAAGTGCTCATGCAGTAGTGCCCATAAGTTCCGTATGCTCTCCAGGTCGGGCAGCCCTACCCTCACTCACAGAAGCACCCCTTTAGTTTTATACTTTCTCTTGATTGGGTAGCTCTGTGGATATGCACAATAGCACTTTACTAGCTTCATATTTTCTCTGCGTGGAAGAGCCGTGTGTGCACATCCCAGTGGATGCACAAAACAGCACCCTGTCATACTTGCTGCATCAATCTCAAGGTAGAGGGGCTCCATGTGTGTGTACCATAATACCCTCCTTTTCCTGCTGGAAGTAGCCCAGGAGGGGTTGCTGGAGATATATTGCGGTAGCCCTGAAGATCAGCCAGGGACCTGTCTGCTATCCATGTGCAGGGAAAATGTCAACAATGGTGCTTACTGGTTCCTCTGGTCTTAAAGAACTCCCTCAGCTCCCAGAGAGCTCTGTTTCCAAACCTCTTTGTGGTCTCGTTTGTTGTGTAGAAGTTGTTCATTTGGCCCTCCGTTGCTCTAAGGAGAAACTGCTGTAAATATAGGTGTGCATCCGATGTGTTCTTGGGAGAGGGTGAGATTAGGTCCTCCTTCACCACTATTGGCACCATGTCCCAACACTGTTCTTTTAAAAAGCTGTTTTGGCTATTCTAAATCCTTTGCATTTCTTTATGGATTTTAAAATAAGTTTTTCAATTTCTATTAAATGTCTGCTCAACTTTTATCGGGACTGTATTGTGACAAAGATCAATTAGGAGAGAATTGACATCTTAATACTGTCAAGTCTTTGAAACATAAACATGGTGTAATTCTATTTTTTTAGGTCTTAAATATTTCTTAGCAATGTTTTCTAGTTTTCAACATATGGGTCTTTCAAATCTGTTGCTTAATTTTTTACTAAGCGTTTCATATTTCCATGCCATTATAAATGGTATTTTAAATTTCAGATTTTATGCTGTGGGTAGAATGAAATAAAATGGATTTTCATATATTGACCTTATATTCTGCATTTTGTTAAATTCACTTATTAGTTTTAGCAGCTTTTATTTTGGTAGATTTTATTACATTTTTCTTCATAGATTATCATGTTGTCAATGAAAAAAGGCTATTTAATGTCAATTAATAAGATAACTCATTTCTTTTCTTACCTGACTACACTGGCTAGAATCTCCAGTATGTTAACTAGAAGTGGATGCAAATTATAACTTTTTTCTAGTCTGGCTGGTGGGAATAGATACTATTTCCTTTGTTTGAGTTTGAGCACTGTTTCCTTAAATTCTTTCAGACAGGTATTTACCTGTCCCTGGTTAGTTTAACGATATGTATGTGTTAACTGTATTTTATTTGAGGAGGAAACTATGAATCTTTGGGATCCCATCCTTGTGAACTGTAGCTGCTTTGGTTTTCCTGGTTTCTCATCCCCATCTCTTCAACTCGAGGAGTTGACTGGTTTTCTCCTGGTTTTCCCCTCTTCCCTCTGCTGCAGTCTAGAAATTCTCTCAGGGCAGTAATCAGGTGTGGTTGCAGGCTTCACATTTTTTCCCCATCTGTAGAGATTATTGTTTTTCATTGCAAGATTTCCTATGTCTTAAAACCAAAAAAGGTTTCATTTGTGATGTCTGTTTTTAGTTTGTTTTGGGCACTAGATTAAATCTGATTCCTGTTAGTTTATCTTTCTTTGAAGTGGAAATCCAAAACTTTGTCCAAATCTTATCTTGTAGAGAATCACTTACATGTTTCATCCTCAGATAGGCCCTTCCTTCCTTGACACTCATTTTCCTCTTTCATAACACTGCTACTTAAAAAAAAATTATTTCAGTATATCTATGGAATGAATAAAATTTTTTAAATGTATGGTTAACCATAATTTTTGCTGTTTCTTCCTTGAAGTATTCCTTCTTTTCTTATTATTTCTTTACCATTCCCCACACTCTGAAAAACCCATGCAGTGAAAGAAGGAAAATATAGGTAGACCTGAGACATTTTAAAGTCTTCCATCAATTGGTTGTGGTTCTGGTATTTAACCTCTTTGCGGCTTGGTTCATTTTCTATTAAAATGACAATGTCTAATGTTTATAGAAGTGCTTTTACAAACATTAACCAAGAAAAGTTCTAAAAGTCTCTAAGGGAGATAGGCATTATAATTTTTACTTTATAATTAAAAAACATCACTCAGAGCAGTTAAATGACTTGATTAAAAATGTAATGAGCAGATAAGAAACAGAAAAGGAAAAAATTGATATAAAACTGTTGACCCCACATCTGTTGCTGTTTCTGAAGCTTTTCACTGCTTCTATAGATTGTAATCTGTAAGATACAGAGGTTTCCTTTTTAAAGGATTAGGGAAGTCAGCTCCTTGGAGCCTAACCTATGTTATAAGATGACCAGTGAAAAACCTCAGGAAAAGACTGCAATTAAATGTTTCTTAAAATGAAAAGTATAAGGTTCAAAACAGAATGTATATCTCTTTGATAACAAATTGGATTTTTGAGAACATCTTGTCCAATCTCTTCGATTGTGAAAAAATAATTTAAAATTGTTTCATTTTTTAATATATGATTTCAGCAATTGTGGTAAAAGTTAAAAAAGTGTTTTCTGATTATAAAATAATGAAATTGGTTTATAATGCATCTAAAACTTGAAGAGACACTTGGAGACATAGGATATGAAATCACTTTTGCATCACGCAGTTCTAAATTTGGTTCCCACTTATTCTGTGTGACTATGAGAAACTACTTTCATTTCTTTTAACTTCAATTTCTTACCTATAAAAGGACCTACTAATATATCTTCCTGAAAGGGTTATAATTACTATGAAATATAACACCCAAATTGCCAAGCACAAGCCCAGAACATAATAGACACTCAATGGAATTGGGTTGAATTTCCTCAAATAGGGACAATGAAGATATGCTTTTCTAACTGCTAGGAAACAATTCATGAAAAGGCTGTACAGTCTCTATTATAATAAAATAAACTGTTGAAATGTAATCAGGTTATATTATACAATAGCTATACTTAAAAGCTAAATTTTGTTAAAATTTATTTTTAAAAGCAAATTCCAGGTTATACCTTCAAGGCATTAAAGAATCAGTCTCTTGCCCTGGCCAGTTTGGCTCAGCGGTTGGCGCGTCGGCCTGCGGTACAGAGAGACCCAGGTTCGGTTCCCGCTAAGGGCACGTACCTCGGTTGCAGTTTGTCCCCGGCCCTGGTTGGTCGTGCGGGTGGCAGCCACTCGATGTGTCCCTACACATCGATGTTTCTCTCTCTCTCTGTTCCTCTCTCTCCCTCCCGCTCTATCTGAACAAAAAATGGAAAATGTCCTCGGGTGAGGATAAAAAAAAAAAAAAAAGAATCAGTCTCTTATCAAAATATATGATGTAGATTATCAACAGAAATTTGCTTTCAAATCTCAGGGCTTGTCTGAGCCCCTTTGGAGCCTACAGGTAGAGACATGTAGGATCTCTTTACAGCCTTGTAATGACTTGATTTTATCTGTCTTGACATTTTAAAATTTTGTTTAGAAAAAACTGTGATTCCTTTTGCAGAATTCCAGTGAACCCAGTAGCTACAGAAGCTACTTCTGCTCTCATTTGTCAAATCTGAAAAGTCTCCTGACTCTTCAGGTGAGCAAAAAGAATCTGTTGTCATTTTCTATCCCACAATGATTATCTTTTACTTACTCATCTCATACTTGTGCTGGATATAGAGGACATAAAATTTTAAATATTGTTCTTCAGGTTCTTGTCACACATTTGGAAAGGTAGAACCTATGCATAAAAGTTAGTAAACATACAAACAAATCTAGGTTACGTACCAACTAAGTGGTTCTAACACTACTGTGTACAAACCTGTACACATTTAAATAAAGGAACTGGGATAACAGAAAGCAGTAGAAGGCAACATAGATATCAGTGTTCTAGTCACAAGACACCAGGAACAGAGGCAACAGAAAGCACCCCAAAGGGGTTGCTCTGCTAGAGTAGAAAGCTAGAAAATAATTATGAGCAAAAATAAGTCACCCTCTGGGCATTCCCAGAAAAATTTTAAGGATTTCACAGAGACAGACTTACTGGAGAAATAACAAGGTTTTAGTTTTTTACAAGTGATGTGGTTCCATTAGTATGTACAAGTTGGTGAGGTGAAGTGTGAAGAAATTCAAAAATACAAACAATATACATGTGTATGCATATGTATGTTTTATACAAATGTGAGACATCTTTTATATATTGTTATGGAACATGCTTTTAAACATAACATTGATTTTTACTATTGAAAAACATCTTCCTATGTCAATAAATATCCACCCATAATATCACTAGTATCATTTCCACCTTTAATCATACCCTTATTCCCTTCTCTTTCTGTATCAATTTTTAGAATTGCTCACTTTACCTCTTCAGATTTGCATTTGCTACCATGGTAAATAATAATAGTATTGACTCTTTTATTTGTGACCTTAACTCCCCAACTTCACATTGTTTGGTACCTAAAATCACTATAGAAATGTGTTTGGGTATTCTATTTTAATAAAAGCATCAGAATTTAGGAATACATAGCTATCTCTGAAAAACTTAATTACTTAGAAAAATGAAATATTGTGGCCTTGGTTAGAATAATTTTATAAAATGGCCAAAGGCATACAGTTTCCAAAATAAGAGAGTATTCAATTATTATTGATACTGTTATATCAGGTTTCTTATTTATAAGGACACTATGGCTCTTCCTCTTCAGAACAAAAGACAAGAAACTCTTGGACTAATAGGACATGGTTTGAAATAAACACTGAAACAATGGATATGAGTAAATGGGTCATGACAATAACTATTTGAAATATTTATATAATTTAAAAATTATCAGGCTGCACTTCCACAACAAAACAAAAATTTGCATGCATGCTGAATGTGTTTTAAAAAACACATTACTGAGCACAGATGTATGGACTGGACTTGAGCATTATGACTTAAAAATGCTATTTGCCTAACCTTAATAGAACTTACTCTGATAGGAAGTACGGATCCGTTTCGTTAAATCAGGATAAAAGTTAGAGAGGCCACGCATGCAAAAGTTGTCTTTGGAACATGCCAGAACACCAGCATCAGCAGCAGGCAGGGGAAAGAGAGAGAAAGAGTCTAAAGTGAAAGGAAGTGATAGCATACCAGAATCTAGAACAGCCAAGATGAAAAAATTGCAAGTTTAGGTAATCAAATTAGAAGATATTAACAAAATAAATCAATTAGAAAGTAAAATGTGATAGATGAATGATGAGAATGCTGTAGTAATTTTATTTAATCAAATATCTTATAAAAATAGTTGGCATATTTATGTTATGTGTTTTACGTAGTAAACTTATTTGGTTTGCAAATAATATATATGATATCTCATAAATATCAAAATGGTTGTCTTTAATGTTCAGTATTAAAAAAGAAAGTTTAAGTTTAGTCTTTAATTTTGTTTTTATAACAAAGTGAGTGCTCATTTTATACACTAAATATAAAATTTATGACTTCATTAGTTTTTCTTAATTTTAAAGTCATCAAAATTCTAAGCTCTAATCATAAATGTGAAGGCTCAACAAGATTAAATTGAGTAACAGTTGTATTACTTGTCACCCCACTGTGTATATCCAGCAATAACTTAGATACTACCAGAGAAGCCAAAGCTTTTCTGATTGAATTGGTGCTTTTAGTGTGCAAACAGTGCCTGCCATCTCCTAGTATCTTCCTACCCTTGAGCGCATGAACTTTCAAAAGTCAACCCTTCTTTTTCCCAGTCATGAGGGAATCTTATGATATATGCATGCACAATTTTCCTTATTCTGTCTTCCTTTCAAAAGCCAGTAGTCACTGAGACAGAACTTATAAAATTTGAGATTTTCAGCACTCCTAAAATTTTGTTAAAAGTTGAGATTCCTGACAAACAAATAAACAAACAGAAAAATCCAGGTTCTGAAAGAGAATTTCTATGTTCCTGAAAAGGGTCAGAACTAGCATTTTGGAAAGGATTGAGGTTTACAAAAGAAATAAAGATATTTCACCATATCAAGTTATTTTTTCATTAGTCCAAAATGAAACTTCAGTGTCACATTCAGATGTTAAATTTAGAACATAATACCTATCATCATGCACTATTTTTATTTTAAAATATTCTTGCATGAGTATATTTTAGTAGTCTTCAATATTCAATTGATTAAAAATTTTTAAAAGAACTATCTAAAATTTAAAGAAACTGTATATTATCTGTTCACTGACCAAATTACTATAAATATATTTCTACTTGTGAACCTTTTATTTATTTATTTATTTTTAAATTATTTTCTTTATTGATTTTAAAAAGAGAGGAAGTAAGAGGGAGAGAGAGAGAGAAAATCGATGAGACAGAACATCGACTGGCCACCTCCTGCATGCCCGACACTGGGGATTGGGCCCACAACCTGCACATGTGCCCTGACCAGGAATCGAACCAGTGACCTCTTGGTTCATGGGTCAATGCTCAACCAGTGAGCCACACTGGCCCGGCATATCTGTGAACCTTTCAGTCCAATTAATTTTTTAACCAAACTGTCAGTGACAGAAAATATACAAAAGTTTTACAGTGTTTACAATGCCAACTACTTGGATATATACTAAAATTTCAGTAAAACTTTGGGTGGCTTGGCATATCAAAGTTTGGCATTAGAAATGTATAGGAAGTATTTCTTAAACCCTTATTAACCATATACATTTTTCTTTTGTATTTAAAATATATCAACTTTCTGACCCTGTCAAGATGTCATCTTTTGTAGCATTTTAAACATTAATTTAAAATGTTTATTACATTTGTTAATATACTTCCTAGAAAGTCATCAACCAACAAGGAAAGATGACAGCTAAAATATGGAGTTAATTAAAAAAAATTAAAAGAAGTGAATAACTACTTTTAACTAAATGAATGACTACTTTTAATTTATAACTTTAACAATTATGTTTTTACAGGGGCCAGATATACTAAGAGAAAATTATCTTCTTTAACACAACCCTTGAAAGCAATTTTTTCAACTAGAGACTGATTTTTATATTAATAGCTTATTTTCTATTATTTCCTAGGACTTCAACCTAAGAAACTTGAGATGCTTCCTAACTTTAAAACTGAAGTTTAAATACTTCATATACACTTCAAAGATTCTGGCTATGTTTCTGTCCAATTTTACTTACATGGCATTGTAAATTATGTTCACTTTATGTTGCCATGCATTTTAAAAGCATCACAGAAGATAAGAAATCTAAAGGTAAGAAAACAGATGAACTAATCAAGTTGGTAACCATCTTGTTTTATCTCCTACCTGCAATGAATTGCTTGTTTTTTCGAGGAGACCGTGGTTGTCGTTGGTATAGGTCACTTGATCTATATAGGTCAATGGTCCCCATGCTTAACAGTACTGTCTTCTGTATAAAATCCACCACAGCCAACCCATTGCAGTTCCCAAATGCAACTCTGAGAGAAAAAAAATATGCAGCTAGAATGGATCACACCAACCATTATTATTTTTACCTTTGAATTAAAAATAAGATTGCTGGAAAGTAAGGCTGTAGGTTTGGGGATGTCGGGCATTGATTGGAGCAGTCAGGAAGGATATTGTGCCTTTACATAGAATAGGCTGACCTTGTATAATAGCCACTGTAAAATTTTTCGCACAAAAATAAAATTGATCTCAATATTATTATAAGTAAATGTATAAATGACCATGGCAAAAGACAGGAATGAACTTCAATCACATTTTATCATGTAAGTAGTGATTACCCAATCTCCTCTTTAACTTTGTCTTATAAAAATCATGTAACATCGTTTTGGTATGCAACAGGGAAATAGGTCAAGCAATTTCATGCTTTTAAAAGCTACAGATGCTTAGGTATGTAATTAGGTGCCTTTTTGAAATGAAATGATGATTATTAGGCTCCAAATTGGTTCTCTTTTTAAACAGTGGCTATTTTAACACAAAATATTACATAAAAATTCATATCTCTATAAAGTTTTGACACTGTAGCAAATATAAACCAGTATAACTTTAATTTACAAAAAATCAAAATTTTCTCTTTTGCTCTTTATTTTGCCTCATTTATTAAAAGACAAAGACCATTTGCCTAATTTCAAAACTAAATCTCCTATGAAATTAAAACTACTCTCTTAAGCAATCATTTTGGTCACCTCAACCATTAGGCATACAATAACTTTCTTTTATCTCCATTTACAACATGTCTTCTAGCTGAACCATTGTAAATCTGTGTTTTTTGCTTCCTACATTAAATATACTCTAGTTGTATCGATGCTGTTTTACTCATTTTATATAAGGTACATGTTTTTATTGCTTAGAATGAATCAGGTTGGCAGATCATCTGCTTACTCTGAGTCTAGTTCTCTCCACCCATCTCACTGCCTTCCTTCCTCACAACAAATGAAAACTTCTAGGATACTACGTGTTTTGCTATTTCACACAGATTTTGGAAACTGGGAAAAAATACTGTTATAAAAATCAAAAGATCCCATCTTTATCATTTTATACATTATTTGACTTTGCAAAAAATTAATGAATCTTGCCAGGCCTGTTTCTTTACTTTATAATGAGAATTATAATACTAGATTTATCTAGTTCACACGGCCTTTAGGAATAGCAAATCAGGAATTTGTTAACATACTTTGAAAATTTTCCACACCAAATCAGAATTGACTTCAACATTATTATAAGTAAATTCAATATTAATAATTTATATATTATAGCAAGTTAATATCTTTATACTTTTTGTGTTAAAATATAGTTAATTATTTCTGTTTACAGCTGTGATAGTGTCCCTAAATGTAATACTGACAGGAGAAAAAATTAGGCAACTAGAATGTATGATACCAATCCCCAAAATTATTTTTATCTGTGAATTGAAAATAAGAATATTGGAGTGATATCAGCATTATGGCAAAGTGAGAAGACCTCTAGGTTTCTCCCCTTGAGGTAATAACAGACTATAATTTAACAAATGATTCCAAGGTCAACACATAAACACATCTGAGAGATCCGCACATTGAGACATCTAAAGGTGGGCATGTTGAAGTACTCAGGGAAAGTAGGCAAAAGAAAAGGATAAAGACAGATGCCACAGACACAGTCCTGGACTCATTATGGCCCCAGCTGATACAGTGAAGGGTCAGGGTGAAGCCCTTAGTCAGCAGCCCAGGGAGGGAAGGGAGGCAGCATTTCGACATGAGTGGCTAGTACACATTGTGACTGAGCCCAGTGATAGGGGGAAGAGATGTGGTTAAAAGTTCTGGCAGCTGCCATCACCAGAAAAAAAGGTTGCAGACACACAAACCTGCCTCCCCGCACCCACCTGGCTCCAGGTGACACAGTGGAGGTGTTGAGTTGCAGCTTGGAGGGGGCTGGTGCACATTGTGGCTAGTCCCAGCAGAAAAACCAAAGCTGCAGCATGTGAAAAACCACCTTCCCCTGCTCACCCCTTTCCTCACTCATCATGGCAGAAGCTGGTGGAGGAAGCTGGGAAACCTCAGATAGCATAGCATTGACTTCATTAGAAAGATTAATATAAGAATAATGGGCATACTGGAAGGAGAGGGGAACAGAGAGCATATTCAAACATATAATTGAGAACTTCCCAAACCATTGGAAAGAGCTGGAACCTTGAATCCAAGAAGCTCACAGAACACCTGAATGCAAAGAGACCTTATCTTCTTCAAGAAGGTAACACTTTCAAAAGTTAATGACAGCCCTGGCTGGTATGGTTCAACAGTCAGAGCATTGGCCTGCAGACCAAAGGGTCTTGGGTTCAATTCCCAGTCAAGGACATGTACCTGGGTTGCAGGTTTGAGCCCCGACACTGTTTGGGGCCATGTGGAAGGCAACCAATCTATGTGTGTCTCTCCCACTGTCTTAAAAAATAAAAAAAAACAACTAATGACAAAGAATTCTCAAGGGGGGAGGAGTGGGGTGTCACCTATAAAGGGAACTCCAATGAATTTTCATTAAATTTTTCAGCAGAAACCTTACAAGCCAGGAAAAAGTGAAATCAAATATGTAAGCATTTAAAAAGAGAAATCAAGAACCAAAAATAATATATCTAGAAAAGTTATGCTTCAGATATGCAGGAGAAATAAAGGCTTTTCCAGACAAAAGCTGAGAAAATTTTACCACCACAAGATCTGCATTGAAAGAAATGTTGAAAGTAGCTTTTACACTTGAAACAAAAAAGACAAAAGAATACAAAACCGAATATAACATACCCCCAGATAGAAGCAGGAAATTGTAACTCTATTTCAGAATAGAGTATTAAACACCTAATTATAACAAAGGTTAAAAGGGGTAAAAGCATTTTAAAAAGGACTATAGCTTCTGCAATTTGGAATACTCAGTATAAAACATAAAGGAGTAGGGGAAAAGGTCTGAACTTGCACAGGTGACTGGAGATAAGGAACACTCAGATGGAAAAGGACTACTGTATGTATAAATCTGTTTTTGCATAAACCTAATGGTAACCACGAAATGAAAATCTAGAACAGAGACATAACATAAAAATAAGGAGGGAAAAATGATAGATTACCACCAAACTAAAATAGCAGACAGAAACACAAAGGAAAGAGAAAACAATGGACACACAGAGCAACTAGAAAAAAAAAGATAAAATGTCTGTAATAAGTTCTCATATATTAATAATCACCCTAAATGTAAATGGACTGAACTCACCAATCAAAGAGCACAGAGTAGCAGGATGAAATAAAAAACAAGAGCTAATTATATGTTGCCATTAAAAGACCCATCTCAGCTAAAAATGATACTGTAGTTAGCTAATTATTGATGGGAAAGAAAGCAAAGGGAGACATTGTCAGGCATATTCATCTGGGAAGCAGTAGCCTGTTTGTTTCACCAGGATGCTACAGCTTCATACCCCAGGAAATCAAAGCGTTGCCACTCCAAGGGGATTAACACCTACTCCCTTCCCCACTCTGGTACTGGATTGTGTGTGTGGTAGGGGAAGATAAGGGCACATGCAGTAAGGTCAAAATGGTACAGAGGGAGGTGCTGGACCATAGAGGTCTGTCAGTCTAACCTGGGGAAAAGATCATGGCTAGGAGTGTGGAGCCAATGCAAACCCGTGAAAGTTTGGGAAGTTGATTGTGGTCATTTTGAAAAAGCTCTGGTTCCTCCCAAGCCTCAGAATACATAATCCCAGGAGACAAAACTTGTGCATGCACGAGAGCTCTCTCTCTCTTCTCTTTCTCTCTGACCTGTACTCTCCCGTACATTCACAAGTTCTCTCCCCATCACCCTGTGGCCATAGCAGCCCTGTGGCCAATGGCCATGCAGACAACAACACATGCAGTCTCCAGATAAAAATAAGCACTCTATTTTGCATACTCACAACTGTAAACCTACTTTTGCCCAACCCTGTATAATGGAATACTATTCAGTCATACAAAAGATAGAACATTGCCACTTGATAGTATAATGCTAAGTGAAATAATCAAAAAGAAAATGATACAAACTATATGATTTCACTCATATATGGGATATAAAACAAAAAACAAACTCATTGGCACAAATAACAGTATGATAGAGAAAAGGGGGTGAGGGGAAGATGAAGAGAATAAAGGCAGTCAAATATATAGTGAAGAAAGGAAACTACACTTTGGGTGGTACATACACAATGGAATATACAGATAATGTATTATAAAATTGTTACATAATGTTATTAACTAATGTTACCCCAATAAATTTAATTTAAAAATAAACAGAATAAAACAAAAATAAAAGAAATGTATTGTGCAGTTTGTAACACTTACAGAAATAAAACATGATACCAATACTAAAAACAAAGGAAAACAAGTATACTGTTATAAAGTTCTTATAGTATATGGAAGTGGTATAATGCTATGTATATATTCATTTATATAAGTCAAAGATATATAGTAAACTGTTGAGCAAACCATAAAAAAAATAAAGTTTTTAAAATTAAAATAAAATTTAAAAATACTAAGGCAACTGATAAGATAAAATAGAATCAAGACCTGGCTGTTCTGGCTCAGCAGTTAGAGCGTAAGCCTTTGGACCCAAGAGTCGCTGGTTCAATTCTGGTCAAGGGCATGTATCTCGGTTGCAGTTCGATCCCCAACCCTGGTGGGTCATGCAGGAGGCAACCAATCAATGTGTCTCACATCAATGTTTTTTTTTCTCTCTCTCTCACCCTCCCTTTCTGTCTGAAAATAAATGGGAAAAATGTCCTCAGGTGAGGATTAAAATTTAAAAAAATAGAGTAAAAGATAAATGTTTTAAAAGAAGGCAGGAAAAAAGAAAGGAGACAACATGGAACAAATAAAAAAAACAAATAGGAAAATATTTCCATTAAACCCAGCCATATAAACAATCACATTAATGTAAATGGTTTAAGTACTCCAAAAGGGCACAGGTTGCCTGAGTGGATAAAATCTTTGATGCT